TGTTGATTAGGGCTAGTTTCCAGATGTCTGGTAGGCAGGAGGTATCATCACGCTTATTCATGACGACCAACCCACCTGTGTTGGCTCCAACACAGCCAACCAACCACCTACAGAAACAAAGCCAGCACTCCACACACCTCCACCAATATTTATAGAGAGACGCCAGCTCCGATCACACTTTGCTCGCACAAGCACGAAGCCAAAGACCCCAGCCTGAAGATGACGAGTGGGACCTCGTCGAAATGTCACCAAGATACTCTCAATCTTACACGTGTATATATGTGTATATATATATACACATACACATACAGAAAAGAACCCTTGCTATATTTGCCCACTCAATCACTAAATGCAGGTTGATCCAAACCTATGCATTAGCCATTCTCTTGCTGTATGATCTACTTTTGCCTAATGTGGGCTTTTAAAAAAAATTACATGTACTTAATTCAATTGTTTTATAAATAATCAAGAACTGAACCAATTAATGTATGGTTGGAACTCACCCAAATGATCTTCTCAGCCTTGCCATAGTTCATAAAGTAGTAAGAGGGAAAAACATTGTCACCCTGAACTCACCAAATGTCCTTATATAACTTTCATAAAAGTTTGTGGTGTCCATTTTATTTATTTATCAAATTTATATGGCCGCCCATCTCACAAAAAGTGACTCGGGGTAGTGTACAACAATTAATTGACTTGTTCGTGAACATGCTTTTATATTCTACTTTCAGAAAAATTGGTAATTTAGGAATATTTTGACGGGAGCTCTTCTGGTGGTATAGCAGGATAAATAAAAACATTAAAAAGTAAAACATCAAAAATGACACACACACACACACACACACGAAAAAGAGAGATTAGCAGTAATGTATCACTAATTATTTTTAAACCTATAAAAATTAAAAGAGCTACAAGTATAATATATCTTACTGGTGAAATTCCATTCCATAGCTACATCTGCAAGAAAATCCATTATATGATTACTACCCATCTCATCTCAGAAGATGTGATCATACCTATGTGGGTGAAAGTGATCCTTAAAACAACTAAGCCCCAAAGTATGGAAGGCAGAATTCAAACCTTCTGTTCAGAAATAGTTTTAAAAACAGTGCAACTGCAAATATTCTATGGGTCCCAATTCCAGAACTCTGGTGCAACTGAAGAGTCCCAAGTAGTCTAGCCTTAAGATTACTGATCATTATACACATGGGCATTGATACTATGTAAGCATTTAAAGACAGAGATGGATCTAGCACCACATGCTAGCTATAAATGCAATCCTTCATGAGTCAAAGGTGAATCCATGCAGAGAAGGATAAAGGTTAAAAGTTAAACCTTCTTTGAATGACTCATTGATGGTAGGTGGTTTGTTTATCTTACATGGTTTGTATATTGCAAATACTGCTTCACCTCTTTGACTATGACTGATGGCTTTCACTCCAATATCTTAGGTCAGAGGTCCCCAACCTTTTGGGCACCAGGGACCGGTTCCATGGAGAAAGGTTTTTCCATGGACTGGAAAGTGTGTGGTTTTATGTGCTGCCTGCATCCTGTGGATGGGGCTTTGCTTGTTTGTGTGGACCGGTTGCTGGCATGCCGCAGCCCGGTACCAGTCCACGGACCAGGGGTTGGGGACCCGTCTTAGATGATGTGGGAGACAAAACAGAGCTATACAGAAAAATACAGGAAAGTTCTATAAGCAATAACAACATCACTATCAGAAAATGACAATATAGAGAGAAATACAGCTATCTAAGCAGTGGCTCAAATCCACATCTTTAAAAGACAATCATGGCCCATGGTATTGAAAGCAGGTAAGATATCCAGAAATCAGTGGACCTATGCTTTCCCCCCCAGAGTGAATGTTAATCTATATAGACATGACTGCATAATTGAAAGAATTTTAAATTTCAAAACTGTCAAAAAGATAAAGACCTCATATGTACCCTGCACCTGCACATACAACACAATCATACATAATTCTAAGTAATAAACATTTTAACGATTAATTTTAAAATATCACCTAATTAGTTAAACTTCACTCATATTAAAACTTTGCTCAATGATTTCATTGTCACACCTCTTCTTTCTAGATTCAAGTTTATAGCTGCTTAGGCTGAATACTGTAATTCTGCCCTCAAACATTTTTGAAAGTTGTCCTCAATTTATTCTAGGAGTATAAAATCCACTCATCTGTGTTTGCATAATGCAGTAATGAAGAGTCAAAATCAGAACTTTATGTTTTAAAATTATACAAATAAATTGGATATCAAATAACTATCTTTACATCTGAATGTTTCAAAGTTTAAGCAACATGCAAAGATTTAAATAAACAGAGTATATAATTAGATGTCAGAACCTCTACCTAAATAATGCTCAGTTACGTGTTAACATAACTGCAAATAGTATAAGGAACATCATGCATCAAACAGTACACACACATTTAGAACATACTAGTTTCATACAGACAGGTGTTGCAGGAAAAACAATTTAGTAAATATTTTGTAAAAAAGGAAAGCACATAAAAATGTAGAAAAAATTAAAGTAATGATAAGAGAGCAATTTAAATTATAGATTACTACTTCAATAAGTTATTGGCTCTCTACCATTCTAACCCATCCCAACAGCAACTATAAGTTACAATCTTTCATTTAAATAAAATCATACAGAGAAGATACATGATTCAAAATATGCATCTAGGAATACATAGGCAGACACAGAAAGAATATGCTACCCTTACAATTAATGTGAGGCAACATATGCTGCAAGTCCACTTTATCCTTGCCCAGGCTGTTCTTGAAATAAATCATAATTCACCCGACTACATTATATTGATGCACAAATCACATTTCCCAAAGAAATTGCTTTAAGACAAGAGGTGTGGAAAGTGTTTTAATAGCAAGATGTAAAATCTATTTTATAATACCAAGGGAATTAAATCATGTTGGTTTATAATTAAACATTATTCTGTTTAATTTTAAATGGAAGCTGTATATTTCTTTGTTTATAGAATTCATTATGAAACAAGTTGGAAATAGACCCAACTTTAAAAATGTCTATAACAGGTGTTTTCAGGTATACTGAAGGAATTTTTTTTCAACAATTACTGCTTTTACCCCCCCTCTATAAACTCCTGTGCTCAACATCCAGCTTTAACAGCAAGCCTATGCTAATACATGCAGACATGAAGAGTCTTGAACATGAGAGAAGCCATCCAAGCAAGTACATCATTGACACAATCTGATTTTTAGGGATTGCACAATGTTAAAATTTGTCACAATGGAATTTGCCTGATGTTCCCTGTGTCTCTTACAAATACAAGAAGTTATGTGTTGAATAATTATGTTTTTTAAAAAGCAAAATTTCTGAGAAACTGAACTACAGTCAAGAATAAAATAGAAAGAGTAAGACAGAAGCTTTAGCCAGAAGTCGAAGGGTGCAGAGTTTTGTTGATATTTCATACAAGCCTCTGTGTGTTCCTTAATCACAGAAAAACCAACCACCACATAGTCATTGCAAGGATCACCAAAAAGGACATCAGAAAAGGAAAGCGTGGAAAAGAAAAAATGTTAGTATACAGGTGACATGTTTTGAGTGTTTTCTGCTCCTCAGGAACTGGAATAGAAATTTTGGCCTGGATTTCTTCAGTTGCTCGATGGGGTAAACTTCCCTCAGGAACTTTCTCTTGCTTTTTAATATAATCTTCATCCTGCACTAATAGAGGGAGTTCCTGTGTCTGCTTTCATGGTAGGAGATCAAGAAAGACAGAGAGATGAACAAAATGACTGATGGAAAATGCTCAAAAGATACTTGGGGATATGCAAGGACAATTATAGAAATTGTCAGAATGACAGCAAAATATGTTTTGTACCAGTTATGCAACTTAATTCCTCTGTTAATCTTAAAAAGTGGAAACCAAATCCCCCAGAGACATTAGCTGCTTTCTGACTAAACAAATTTTGAATTGCTAATAGAACAGTGTGCAGAAACTCACACTAAATCAACTCTATCCATGGGTTAAAATACATCTTTGAGTGTTAAGGTATAGAATTACGTATGTAATAATACTGTTGCTTTACAAACAGAACTGATATCATACAAAATATTAGTTGTGACTTTCTATGCTATACTGAAATTCAAAATTGTACTATTTGTTAGATCTGATATTTCAACTATAGCACAAACTTAATTGTTTGAATATTGAAGAAAGTATTGTCATGGAAGATAAGATACCATAATGTTTACCTCCATGTTACATTGTGATTAAGGTGCAAATTATTCAGTTTCTTAAAAACAAAGAAAATGCAATGTGCATTTCTAATAGTAAGATTACAAAGAATAAAATTTTATTCTTTTTTATTTGTATATGACATCAGCATGTAAACTATTTAAATATGAATAGTATTTTGCAGTATTATATGAAAACTGAGCATAAGCTGGAGAATTCTGAAGTTGCTTTTCTTTTTCCATGTATGACAAATGAAAGTTGCTATCTAGGACAGGAAAAATTTGGTTCTAAGCTCTCTCAGCTGATTCAGTCTTCTTTGATCAATCTGATATTTGGGGACAGAGTCTTTGCACACCCCTAAGTAATGGAGATCAGGGAAAAAGTAGCTGGAAGACTGGGCAGCAAAATGAAATGATAAAGTATGCAAGAGTAACATGAAAATTAAAAGAAGAACATGAAAAGAGAGGAAGACAACATAAGAAGAACAGGGTAGAGTTAAACTTTCATAATTTTTCTCTCTCAAACTTTATGGCAACATCTTCATGCAACTTTGTCAACCAGCCATGCGCTGAAAGAAGCAATTGAAAAGCTGCAAAAGCTTGCAGCACTGCAAATCCACTTAAAATGTTAGATCAGAAGGCTGTGAGAGATGACATTATTGAAAAGGCAGCCCAAACAATGCTAGCAGCTGGTGTTGAGGGTTTGGGATTGCCAGTACCAATGCAGTAGCAAAAATCTGCTTTGGAAGCATGTATTAAAACAGCAGCTTTACCTCTGGCCCAGTGATCTGTCTCTCACAGGGCTGAAATGTGGCTTTCTTGACCTGGACATGTACAAAGTATGGAAAATTCAATTGTATTTCTAAGTAAAATAAACAGACAAATAAACCAGAACTAAATCCTAGTTTACAGACTATTAAGATTAAATTAAATTAAGGTTAAATTAAAAAATGAAAATTCCTATGACCAATTATCATAATGTATACTTCTGTTTAAGAAAGCAAGTTAAGAAACATGGAGATGTCTGTGTATTAAAATTAATTATAATGAAAAGTCCACTAATACTTATTATCTGAAGTATTGAAGTTATGATCCGAGAAATGTAATTCTTCTGAAATGCCCTAAAATTACAGTAACTTTCATATAAGAAAATATACATTATTCTCGTTCCATGTTTATATACCGTATATACCCGAGTATAAGTCGACCCGACTATAAGCCGAGGGACCTATTTTGCCACAAAGAATTGGGAAAAAATGGTGACTCGCGTATAAGCCGAGGGGGCATTTTTCAGCACACACATTTTTCCGCCTGGGCTAATCGGCCTCTTTGCAACCCCACCCCTCTGGTAACCGCGCAATTGTAGCACTTTGCACAAAGGAGCAATAGTTGATAACACGCCCCACGTCAGCTGGAAGGGTATTCTTGGATAGTGAGAAGCTGGAACGGGCGGGCGGGCGAGAGAGGCGGGCAGGAAAAAAAGGGGGGGGGAAATCCACACACGCTCGCGCAGGGAAAGGGGGAAACAGGTGGGCCGGCCGGCTCCCCTCTCCTCTTTGTGTGTGTGTGTGTGTTTGTCTCTCTCTCTCTCTCTCTCTCTCTCTCTCTCTCAATTCTCCCCCACCCCAAAAGCGGGGAGGGGGCGACCTTGCAAAAGGGAGGGGGCTTCTCCCGGTTGCGGGGAAGGCTGGAGGTGCGCCTTTCTCGGCCAGCCTGGGTAAATTCAGCCGTATTCTTCAATACGGGCCGGCCCCAGCAGTTCCGGCTGGTTGCCGGCAGTTGGCTGTTCCTCCGTGGCCGCCTCGGGCCCCCCGGCTCTATCGGTGAGCGCCCGGCAGAGCGCAGCGTCGCCAGGCCTCCCCCCTTCGGGCGAGGCGTCTGGCGTTCCCCCTCGCGCTTGGCTGCGGCGGCCCGGGGTATTCCGT